GCTTGGAAGAGTGCATCAGAAGAGCTGAGTGAAAGGAAGGGAGCAAGAGGGGAAACCAACAGAATCAGAGAAAAAGCAAGTAGCAGCAGTGGAACAACAACAGACTGGGCCATCCCTCCAAAAAGAGAAGTGAGTTCCTAGCGCTCTCTTACTGCATGGAGCGTACACAGATCTGAATTTGTTTCCTGACTTTTTCTGGGGGGAAAAAATACAAACATTTCAACTATTTTTCTCTCTCTCTAATGAATATATTGTGATCCCATATGCTAATTAGCTAGTTCTGGTAAAAGGTAAACAGTTTCATAGGATGTTCTTATCAATACCCAGGAACTATAATGTATTGTTGGGATTCAAGACTGCACATCCCAGCTTACTAGACCTTAGATGTATCAATGGGCCATACTAATCACGTGCCTCAGGGATACTGAATGATCAGGCTTGACAGAATTCAATTTTTTTAATATCATTTCAGTGGATATTGATGTTTATTTAAAACTTTTTTTACTTTTAACTATTTACATTTTCACAGTTGTGGGAAAGCATGAGAGGTTCAGGCAACGGGATGGTCAGACAAAAATTATTTAGTGACAGAAGACACTGAAATTCAAAAAGTTAAAACTTTATAACCATTAAAATACAAATTATCAACATGATAAGTCAAAATATACAAAGTATGTATCCTTAAATCAAACTCTAATATGTTCTCAAGTAGCATTTTTCTAACTTTGCCTGTCTGTACATTTCAGTTATTATGGATGGAAATACTTTTTGTCAGTTTGTGTGTGTACAGTGAAATAGATGTTTACTGATATCTATCAAAAATCTAATCCTTCCAAGCCTATTAATAATTCATAGACTCAAATGAAGGGTGAGGAGTAGACAGAGGCTTCTCCCACTGTGATGTTCCCGTTTGGAAGTAGCTTTCCTACAGATGTCCACGTTTTAAGGTACTTGGAGCCCTTCATATGCAAATCTGAAGAACTGCAGTGCATGGTAAATATATGCAAAAAGAACAGGAGTACTTGTGGCACCTTAGAGACTAACAAATTTATTAGAGCATAAGCTTTCGTGGGCTACAGCCCGCTTCTTCGGATGCATATGGAGTGGAACATATATTGAGGAGATATATATACACACATACAGAGAGCATGAACAGGTGGGAGTTGTCTTACCAACTCTGAGAGGCCAATTAA